ATAGGATTTCTTTGACCAGCACTGCGTTGTTGTAGCAGTGTAGTCTGCACTGTGCACACATCATGTACGCACGTGCCCTCATTATGCACGCACGCACACACACACACACACCTTCTAGGTCCTTCTTTATACACTGCTGTGGCTGGGAAACAAAAGGTTTTCTTCTTGACCACCCAACACACTGGACTAGTAGCGCCACTGTGGAGCATCTCATGACCACCGCGATGGTTCACAAAACAACTGACGTCACACACCTGTCGCGTCATGCTTGTGTGTGACACACAGGTTCATGCCTGAGATGACTCGTCAAACGCGCGTGGGTGTGGGCATGCGCGTACGCGAGTGCGTGCGTGTGCATCTGTTCACGCGTCTTTGTGCATGCGTGCGTGTGTTTGCATGGAGGGGAGGAGCTGACCATTCTGCCCTAACAAATACACCTACACGCATGGGTAAACGTACCATTTCTAGTGCAATGCATTGGACTGGCGCTTTATTCATTCCTCAACTTTGCTCCCAAGTCATCTCCATTCTGCGGCCAGCAAAGCATTATCACATGTTCCCCGAATCCCGATCTATGTTGCATTCCACAGGGAGTCCCTTCTGGTTTGGCAACTTGAAAATGACCTCATTTACTCTCACAACACTGCTCGGACTGATTATTCTTTGCACACAGCTCCGGGAGCACCAGAGAACTTGACCGTGGAAGCCGAGAGAGGCACAAGCAGTATGCTGGTTCGATTTGCGCCTCCATCCGAACCCAACGGCATCGTCACCGGTTTCTCATTGACGTACCTAGGAGAAGCTCAGACTAGCGAATCGCAGCCCATCATCATCACGGCGGATGGCAAGAGGACTCTGGAGGCACGCATCCCCAGGCTGCCGCGCAAAGTGTCCTATGAATTCTATGTACGTGCCGTCAACTCTGTCGGCGCGGGGCAGCCGGCCTCTAAGGAAGCAACCGTACCAGGTGTGTACGCACAACGTGCTCTGTATCCCTTACCATGTAGTCGTAACCTCCATGTGTTGCATCGTGAGTACACGTCTACCCCGTTAGCCAAGCCTCGTGAGTGGACACCGATCCAAAATCCCTTGCCGACTGAAACACATTTAGCAGTCGAGCAGCTTTTTCATGCAGGCTCAGGCTGGGTTCAATCCCCCCCCCCCCCAATCGAAGTTAGCTGCACGCCCCCCCCCCATTCAAATTCTTGAAAATCAATTCTGCATCAAAACTCGCTACTGCATGATTGTGATGGGGTTGATACCGAGACCGTTAGCCGGTTTAGCCGCTTCTGCCCCACCTCCACTGCTTCAGCTGCCATAGTTATGTAGCTCCCTGCTATCTCCTGCTGGCGTTTGGGCAATGATGGTTTGTGGCTATCTTGTAAAAAAATTGTACACACGAAAAGTGGCTGAAACACGCACAGGCAGGTAAAACGTCATCAAAAAAACGTGGAGCGCGACTGCGGTACCGCGAATGGCGAGTGTCAGTGGAACCGCGCTGCTCCGCTTCATGCAGCCAAATGCCGCGGAGCCGCAGTGGAACCCGGCCCTTATCAAGTTGTGTTTTAGCCTCCATTTCTCTTCTACATGACTGTATAATAAAAGTTCTGCATTGGAGTCTTCATACCACTCTACATTGTCAATTGTGTGCAGCGTATCCCGTCATCACCCACCTATCTGGGTCTACGGTGGTACCAGAATACGCTGCAGAAGTAACGTTACGTTGCAGTGCAGATGGCGATCCACCACCCAGCATCCGGTGGACGAGACAAGGTAACAAGACGGAGAGGCAAGCACGTCCAGACGGCAGCCTAGTACTCAGTGTCGTGCAGAGCAGTGACGCTGGTACCTACGTGTGCACGGCTACAAACATATGGGGCACAGACAGCAATAGCACCGCATTGTCAGTGTTTAGTAAGTCTATTGTACGCCGGGTCAGTGTTTGCTTACGCAGAGAAAGGCATCTGGGTAGACAAACTCATTTCCAGAGCAGTGCAAATCCAAACCAGTTCCGCTAATTGACAACATGTCGGCAGATGGCCACCGTCGGGAGAAAGAAACAATGATTCCCTTCTCCACAAATGAAGCTGCACATGTTCAGCCACGTCCCATCGACAATAAACTTGTTGGCTTGACTCTACGTTGTAGAAGGGAAGAACAAAGTGTAATGTCAAGTTTGCTACCGCCTAGAGGGAATGTTGTGACATCTGCATGCTCGGGGCTTGGGGCAAGGAAAATTCAGTAGCTTGGCTTTGCTTGTGTTTGTGTGTGTGTGTGTGTGTGTGTGCGTGTGTGTATGCATGCATGCACGCGTATGTGTATAATGTGTGCGTGCGTGTGTGTGTGTGTGTGTGTGTGTGTGTGTGTGTGTGTGTGTGTATGTGTGCATGCGTGCGTGCGTGTCACTGGCCGCTTACAGGTAAATCCAGCTCAATCATCAGTGGCTTCAAGGACAGCTATCTGTACATCTGTATAGCGGCCGCAGTACTAATACTACTGCTTCTGGTGCTCGTCTTCTTGCTGCGACACCGCTGTCACAGCAGCGGCAAGTTAGCAGTGAAGGCTAGAAGACCCACGGCAGGACAGCATGGCGGCAATGATGAGTAAGGTGCTGGACAGCGTCAAGCGCATAGCTCGTGCATAGTCAGCGTAGTTCGGTCACCACACCAGCAAAATGGCAGTGATAGGTACTGCTATTTTTGATAGGTACTGCGAAGGCAAAACAGGCAAAATGGCGACTTTGGAGTTGTCGTTTGTACAGGGTCACCACACCGCATTATGTTCTCTGGTACGAGGTCAGCACACCAGAGATGTGCGAGCTACGCTGCCCTACACATACACAGCACTGCTGCACTGTATTATGTGGCTTGCAGCAAGAGTATATAAGCCCCCAAGAGTGTGCAACTCCTGATACCCTTTCTATGGCGTTCGACGACAGCGAAACCTCCCATCACGTGATGTAGTGTCGCAGTTGTACCTTTCCACGCCGTTTTTAGCGAGCAGCTGCTTCCTCCGCGTCATTAAAATTGTCGTTTCACACATCGCGATTTTTGTGACTGGCTTGTCTTAGTCGGACTGTCGGAATCGCTGTTTTCTGTGTTCGAACATTGGTGCGACCCTTCCTGCACAATGTTTACTTGTTACTGAAGCCGTGATGGTCTCGGACATTGCCGGAGCTCTCTTCCGCACAAAACGAATTCATCATGCCCTGCACTTTTCCGCCACAAAACGCGTATCGTTTTTCTGGACTACATGCCGTCCCACATCGTTCCTGTGGGCATGTATCAAGACTGCAAGCTCGGGTATAAGAATCCTGGTATCTCTCCTGAATTCGAAAGGCTGAAGTTGACGATGCCAAGAACAAAGTGTTCTCAAATTCCTAGAATACCCGACGTGTGCCGCATGTTGCTGTGAAGGTAGCAGGTCTGAAAACACCCACAAAATCAGCGAAGCGCTTGCCAAGGAAAGAAGGGATAACCTGCTTACCCTGTCCCGCTGGAAGGTCGTTACAGTGTACCTGAAGAATGCTAGTTTGCCGTCGTCGTCTGCCACCTGGAGGCATTGATCAAAACGAAGTTTCACGACCTGAATTTGAACACGCGTCTTGTTCAGCGTCTTGTTGAGTGCTGAAGTGTCTGCCTCAAACTCTGATGAAGACGTCGACCGTAGCTTCAAGTGCAGTGAAGCGGGGGCCACAAACTAAATCTTGGTTTGTCGACAATGCTCTGCCTCGATTTCTAGCTGATTTCTTTGCCATTTGAGTGGACAAAATCAATTTGAAAAATCGCTCTGGGAAGCGACAATTTTAATGATGCGGAGGAAGTAATAAAACATTCTCTGACAGAAACTCACTGCGCGTATGCAAACACCCAGCATGATCATGGCAGGTATTCGGATTGCGCGCACACTATCCTTCGTTTGTCCATAGCACGAAACGTACCCGAGACATGTGATGTGAGTTGTCGCCGTCGGAGACCCCATATGCAGAGTTGCACACTCTTGGGAGATGATAATAATACTCTTACGGGCAGTGGCAACAATATGAGATCCCACCCAAGGAATTGATTCGGCTCAAGTGCAGTAGTTGGATTTCGTCTTGTGTCACTGTATAGTGCAAACCTGGTGAAATCCAACCCATGGAAGTGAGTCTGGTCATATACAGGGTTGGATTTCGTCTTGTGTCACTGTATAGAGCATACCTAGTGAAATCCAACCCATGGAAGTGAGTCTGGTCATATACAGGGTTGGATTTCGTCTTGTGTCACTGTATAGTGCAAACCTAGTGAAATCCAACCCATGGAAGTGAGTCTGGTCATATACAGGGTTGGATTTCGTCTTGTGTCACTGTATAGTGCAAACCTAGTGAAATCCAACCCGTGGAAGTGAATCTGGTTATGTACAGGCAGGAGTGTCACACACGGTACAGCCAATACTACCATAGTCGTACCACTTTTTTCGTCCAGGATGGTCCGCCCGATTCATCCAAAAAATCAATAAAAGAGCTCTTAACGCGCGCAGGGGGGGGGGGGGGGAATGCTGTGATTTGGGTTCAACCTTTTACAGCAAGATGCACGCTATTTTCAGCACGCTGTTGCCATGAGAATAGCCTTTATTTCGCGCAGTGCAACCATTTATGTCACCATAATATGCGATACAAGGTGAAATGCGTACAAATTGTGCAATATTTGGCCAAAAACGTACCGTTTGTTACAACGATAAATCAGCCCCCGTAACGTTTTAATGTTGCGACTTCAGCGCTATTTTGGTTGATCAAGGTACGAGTACCGTAAAAAAAGTGTTACCGTTGTTTGCTAAGGGTTTAATCGTCCGCTGTTCCACTCTGTCACTTATGCTGATCGTGGTGCACTGTATTCTTATGCTGTGGGCATCCAATACAAGCTGTTACCTAATGTTATGCCGTTGTAATCACGTCAGACTTTGTTGGGTCGATGCTGCGTGCAGGTTTGGAGTACCAGGCCTGTCCCTCTACAATGTTGACAATCGCTATTCTGGTGCATTCTCCTCAAGGTACTAATGACCATGATGTGCCGCTGCATGCCAGCCGGAAATTGATGTTACCCACCCACCCACCCACCCACACACAAACACACAACACACACGATACACTCACACACACACGCACACACACACACACACACACACACACACACACACACACACACAACACACGCAACCGCACAACACACACGCACACACACACACACACACACACTTTCTCTCTGTCTCTTTGGGTCTTCAGACTCTTCCTGTAAGTTTGTGTCTTTCCAAACATCAAGACGAGAAGCTCCCTTACAGCAATGTCCTAGGTTGCAGTTGCTGTTTTCTACAGCTGAGTCAGGTATCGGGTTCGGGTTCGGGTAGGTTTTCACGGGTAGCACGGGTACCCTATCGGGTAATGTTTCCATGGTAACACCACAATGCACCCCTTCCCTTACACACTGGGTAGACATGCGGAGTAATGCATGAATTTGTACACGTGCCCTGTACATGATGTCATCTGCGACTTCGGGTTTTCGGGTACAATTCTGTACCCGTCTAACCGAGGTCCTCACAGGTAGCACGGGTACCCGACTTCCCATGCACACCACTACTGTTTTCAGTAACGGCTCCCGTTGTCTTCCACACATACCCCTCAGGTATGTCAATTCCCTTTACAAAGTACTAGTACCCGTGCATTCTGGAGCGTTAGCCGCACCTGGATTTTTTTGTGGCGAAATACAGACACATTTCCCTGCCGCTAATTTGACCATCGCAGCATAAGCCGCACCAACTTGTTTTTGGGTGAATTCCTAGTGCTTTCAAGCACCTTGAATTCACCCAGTGCAGCTTATGCTCCGGATATATGGTACGTTGTGCATGCTTTGATAAAAAATAAAAAAAAATTTCACGGTTCGCGTGAGACTCGGCCAAAGGCCCAGTTTTCCGTATCCGCAGGAACGCCACCACCCTCTTGGATCAAGGCGCAGATGCAGCTCCTAAGCAGTGGGAGGTGAGTAGATCAGACCCACCACAAAGTGGTCAAAGACCGAAATCCCATTCACTGCATCTATGTTTCCCTCGTGCCAGGCCACGAGTTCCCAATTAACTGTGGGTTGCAGCACGGCTGGAAAAAATCCTTCCGCTTCCAACATAACATAACATAACATAACGGGGAAACATTAACGGTCTTGCTCGCTAAATACTGGTGGGACTATGACCTGAAGTTTCAGGAGCAACGCATTTCCCTTCAAACTGAAGCAGGTTTAAAGCATTTTTTCCATGGGTTGACCGCCAGTTCCGATGATAAGAACCGTTGTGTACGTGCTCTTCGTTTTCTTTTTTTCTCTTCTTCCGTGGTTGGTCTCACCCTCTCCTCAATTCAATTGGCTGTCTTGACATGCCACGAGGTGCAGAAATAAATAAATAAAATGAAATAAAATAACCAAAGAAAGAATGCTCTGCTATATTCGCGGTGTGAGAATTTGGAAATACTTTGTTTGCTTTGTTATTTCCCCACCGCAGCCACCTCAACCAAACGGCCACCTTCCAGCGGAACCAGGAGAGCCGCTATCAAACTCAGGAGGTACAGCAGCACCGCGGCTCCATCATCTCCAACGAGTACGCGATGCCTGGCTCGCACGCAGATCCCCCAGAGGCGTCATCGCTACCGGCAGGATCTCCGAGCAGCTTCTACCCGGGCGGCAAGAGACAAGCCACGCAGCCTATGCACGTCAACTATACAGAGAGTGGCCGCCCGCTGGGTGCGTATCCGCCAGTCGACGAGCAAGCAGAGCACATTGCAGTCAATCCTGTGACTCAACAAGTCAACACTGACTTCCAGACACAGAACATGATGAGCAGCCGCGAGGAGCTGTTGGTCACTGAGCAATTGCCGATGTACACAGCTAGGCTTGGTGACCACATACTCACTGCAATGTAGACACTTCTAGGGTAACAGTCTGAGGTGTTGGTCACCCCAGGAGGACAGTACATACGGCAGCAGACAGGCATTAGCTCTGTGAGGGGATAGCACTGTGTGTCATGGATGGGCATGTGTGTGTGTGTGTGTGTGCGTGTGTGTGTGTGCGCGCGTGCGTGCGTGCGTGTGTATGCGTGTGTGTGTCAGTGCTAGTGTAGGCGTGTGTGCATGCGTGCCCGTGTGTGTGGTGGGGGCTCTTCATGTATTCAATTTGAAGGAGAAGGTGTAATGTATACACGGCTAGAACATTTGTATCGCCTTTTTATTGCCGCATCCCTTTTCAAACGGTGTACTGTAGTCTAGGTATGCTGAAATGCCCAGTACAGTGTATTGTGGTCAGATGTGCACTGCTGCAGTGTATCTATTGATACTGGATTCATATCATAATGTCCTCATTACAACTGAACAAGCAGAGGAAGATGAGGACTGTGTCATAACACCGAGTTTCGCGCACAAGGCGATCATCGGACAACAATCCTCTTCTTCTTCTTGTTGTAAGTAGCTCGGCACTTGGGCATCGAGCACTTTTAGAGTATATTGGACAGCCTGGAACCTTTCTGTTTTATATGCCCATTAGGTGGCCAGTATAGGTCCGCTCGCTTGCTGCTGATGGTTGATAACAGGGTGAGTAGTACACTACGGAATTGTACTACTCACCCTGTTTGATAATGCAACATCAGACTGTAGTACCTCCCACACCCACGGTTCATGCACTACAAGTTGACGAACACCTTGGCTTCTGGTGGATCTGTAATCACAATAGAGAGAGGGGGGGGGGGGGAGCTGTTTTGCGACCGTCCAAGATTCACGTCAAATCACCGCCAATCAGACAGTAGAGCGCCCCTTACCCTTACCTGATGACTGATAACTTGTCAAATGCATTGCATCAAGAGTACATAAACCTTTATGATTTTACTCTTGATTGCATGCTGTGAGAGCTGTGGATTTTAATTATTTGTATCTAGTGGCTGCATCACACTGTGCAATCATAGGAACAAGCGTCGTTTACGGGCACAAGCTAACGCAATGGATTAAGACAAGAAAGGGCAGCTTTCTAAAAAATAAAAGCTTTTGTGGTCTAGTCCTGCGTTCTTCCGCTACATTGTTGCTCCTCGTTCACTTCAGGCCCCGTCTAAAAAGTAAGAAAATAGCAAAATGTACCGGCTGGCCGCTGCAATTTCAAATTCTACACTAAACCTAACAATAGTCACACCCGCAGTTAGGCATATGCGGATTCTGCCGGCAGAAAAATTGGCAGAATTCGGTACCTTTTCTAGTAAGTTTCATGCATGTTTGGTATGTGGATAAAGAAATGGAGCAGAATTCGAGGAATTTCCCGCCATACGGTTTGTATGGTTCTGCCAATTTCACTGCTTTTCGAGCAGAATCTGCCACCTTTTCGAGCAGAATCTGCCACCTTTTCGAGCAGAATCTGCCACCTTTTCGAGCAAAATCCGCACACCCCTACCCGCAGTGACTCCTGAACGATCGGATGTTTCGATCTCAGGGACAAATGAATATTCGATGAATGCTAACTTCTTATTATTTTAGTTTTTAGACGGGGCCTTAAGTGAAGGAGGAGCAACAACGTAGCGGAAGACCTCAGGACTAGAATGTTTTTAGAAAGCTGCCCTATAGCCCATTTCATCGGAAACAGTCCTGCTGGCTTTTGAAAGTCCGATGGGTGGTTGCGGGTGACCCACTGCACAATCATGTGCATGATCTTAGGCGCAATCGCTAGGCCGAAGCCCATTCTCGTCATGAGATAGACTTTCTCCTTCCACAGCACAGCTTGATATCGTGCAAGCTCTGGGCTGACGTGTACCTGGAGGTAGTAGGCCTTCTTGATATGAGCCAGAGCAAGCTAAAATATGACCACAGACCAAAAATTCGATTTTCAGTTTTTTGTTCAAAAATGATCGAACACATCTAATGTTCACTGTCTGAAAGTTTTGGATAGATTGGACATCTCTAAGTGTGGCTACAATGGTATTATATGCAGCACTGTTGAGATGGTGAAATTCTAGGTACAGCAATGGGATTGTCATTTTTGCACAAAATTGATATGCCCCTTAGTTCATCCTTTCCGGGTCAGTTCCTCTGTCCAGGGTATTCTAGCATGAGCTGACAGGTACTCAGCCACATCCAAAATACCAAATTGTCTATAGGCACGATCAGATTCTTCCAGGTACATTACGACGACATCGTCTTCAGCGGCTGGCGCTCCCCATATTTGCGTGAGAATTTACTTGGCGGGCGCCCCGCTCCGTAATTTGAAATTCTCTTGCATCGGCGGCTGGAACGAAGTATTTATCTATCTGTCGTCGGTCCCAGAGTGAATGACCATGATGACTGCTAGGCCCTCGTCGGAGAAGTCATCCAAGGACGAAAGAATCATGCTACGATGACCCGACTTGTAAATTTGAAATCCATTTTTTCTGCTCGTCTTGACCCTGCCTCCCCTCATTGCTACTTCCGTTTTCGTATTTTTTTTTCATTTATTTTCTCTTCATTTCTGACTCTTCTCAATGGTTGTCATCGCTTTCATAACATTGGGCAGAACTGCCCGTTTGCCATGCGATGTAAAATAAATAAACAACAACAACAACAAAGGAACTCACTGCACTGAGTACAGAGTGGTATCAGTGCATCCATGCAGCACTTGCTTGGCCGCGCGACGTAGAGTCTACTGTCGATCTACATGTACTTCGATGTACACAATGTATGCATGGTGAGCGTTGATTTTTCCGCTTTCGATGTTTTTTCAAAACGAAACCGGTCGCTACCCACCCACCCATAAACGAAACTTTTTCGTTTCGTGAAACAGATCGATAATTACGGATGGCCCCTAAATCAATTCCTACTTACATGTCTTTGTGCATACATCTACATGTACTATTAACATGTAGTAGTACTGTTCTTTCAATCAAATGAACCCCTCGATAGGCACATTGCCTTTGGGTCATTTCATAATAATAATAATTATTATATTAACTGGTTTGAGGGAAAGAGACAAACGGGAAAAGTCTGAAGAAAAATTATTATTATTATGTTGGTCATTCTGTGGCTGTTGTGCAGAAGTTTATGACTCCGTCGTAAAATTGTGTTGCTATTCACATTTTTCAGGTTTCCACACCCTCAAACTAATGGCAGATTGATTTGAGAATTGTAACCAGGTGCATGTCACAGATTTGTTTGTTGATTCTGTGTTTAGAATTGCGGTCATGATAAGGTCATCATGCATCATATTGCAATAAAATCGTTATCCTGGTTGGTTGGTTGGTTGGATTTATTTAAAGTCGTACAACAAACAGGCATATCTGCCTCCTTATATGAAGACGACTTCTGGCAGTAAAACATTTTAAAGAATAGAGAAAGGAAAAGAAAAAAAAGAAGAAGAAGAAGAGAAGATCAAGAATGCATCCTGAGCATACAGCTAGCCGGAGACTGAGCACAGCTAGCCTAAGCATGCATCAGAGCATCAGGATTACTACATACTACTAGTACTATTCTCAAGATAGGGGAGGGGGGTTGCTGTCATGCTACAGTAAGACAATACGCGTGCAACACACCCTTGAACTGGAGGGGGGACGTGATGTTTCTTGCATCAGGTGGAAGACTGTTCCAAACGCGTGCAGCAGAAAGAGACACGGGATGAGTTCTGGATGGAAGCTGCAGCAGAAGTCGTTGGGAGCCGCGCGTTTGGCCAGCCCTAGTCGGAGTGACGAAATCTCCGAATAATGCGCTGATCAGCGGCTGCTCCATGGTGGAATGTAGGCACCGGTAGACCAGCGAGCACACTGTTTCACGCAAGAGCTGGTGTACACGAAGCAGGTTGTGTTCCGCATACACGGGAGTCATACGGGTACGGGAGGTAAGGTTGTATACGGCTCGCAGGGCTAGGTTGCATAGGCGTTGAAGTCTCTCTTCATTTAGAAAAGCGATCCTGTCAGCTTTTCTATTATTGTGTTCACATGGCAGAAAAAACGACACCGCTATGCTACGTAAGTTTCTACGTAAGGTGCTCGGTATTTCACTTAGGCTACGTAAGTCTCTACGTAAGGTGCTCGGTATTAGATCTACCAACGCGTGGTAGCCGTGTGCTGTGCACGTGCACGGCAGACATTGTGTTCAGTGCATGCAGTCCGCGGATCCGTGTTCGGATGTGCATGCGCGAGGAACTTCCTTCTTTGGAACTGCTTCTTGCATGCATGAGCTGTTTCGGATATTTCGTCTCATGGCCTGGCTTATTTCGTTTCGGCGCTGCTGAGACCTCCTTTCGCGGAATATTACTCAATGACAGGTGAGTTGACCAGTTGCCTTTGATTCATTTGCTTGTGTTGACTCTTTCATTCAGGAAAAGTGTGCTGATTTTGGGGCGGAATGCAATAAATAATGGAAAAGTTGACAGGATCTCTTTTCTAAATTTTGCTTTTCTGCTGCCGAGCTGCGAGGCCTCCTTTTACGGAATACTCGATGACAGGTGATCTCTAAGTTGACCGGTTTCCTTCAATTCATTTGCTTATGTTCACCTTTCATTTACGGAAACGTGTGCTGATTTTATTCGGATTTAGATCCATTTTTATCTCTTTGCCCTTGTCTGCAGTGTGCGAAGAACGCGAGTTCAACTTCTTGACGGTAAGGCTTATGTTAGATGTGTTGTCGAAATACTCATATTCATTGTACATTGGTACGTTACAAGTAAGGCACTGGTCAGTGGCATACTATCGTTGGCAGTTCCCAATCTGGAGGGAAAGGTTCAAGTACCAATTGACCGAGTTTGCAAAATAAATTCGCATATCAGGGGAAATCTCTATTGTGGAGAGGTTCAGTAACTTGTTTGTTTCATACGAAACAAGCCAATGGGTGCAGTCTCGTCTCGTGAAAATCTCGTACTTGTATGATTGGATTTGTTTACTCAAGTCTGGGCTGTTTGATTTGTGAGTACCGCCGAGATTGCACTGCCTCAAATAAAGTTTCGTGCCGCCAAAGCAAGAATTACGATCTGCAATCTGTTTGTAGTACCTGTAAGAATGTGGAGTACATGTATCGTACTTTCTCTGTTGCTGTTTGAGTTGCCGTCATGTTGCTAAAGAAAGGTTCAGTAGAGAGGTTCTGCAAAACGAAAATTCGAACGAAGTTTCGCGACAGTCCTTGCGAAAGTGTGTGCGAATTTTTGCACGAACTTTGCGTTCTGCACATTTTCGTAGTTTGCGCGGGCCAAGTGCACTTACGCCATGACCCGACCTCACGAAATTTCCTACGACAGTTCATTTCGCGTTCCCTGCAAGTTTCGCGTCCAAAGGTGCGAAGTTTCGCACTTCATGATGTAGAGCGAAAGTTTGTACGCATTTTCGTTTTGCAGAATCTCCCTAGTGACTCAATTGTTTCATACGAGACGAGGCAATGAGTTGGTGTGGCTTAGAATCTTTCGCCGTAGAAGAAATCTATTCGTATGTCTATTGGAGATATAATTGTATTCTCTGGTTATAAAATAGGTTAAGCTCACAGAATAAATACC